GTTGTTTACACACCTTCCGGAAGTTTTCAAAAACAGCCGCTAGCAATAACACGTCCGTTTCCACGTATAGGTCGTGATAGTCACCTAGGTTTTGGCAATTAAATTTTTCCCATACTGTCTCTGCACGAGCATATTCTTGCTCGGTTGTTCCCCCCTGCTTCAGAGAGCTATAGAAAGCGTCTACTGGCGGGAGCCGTCTCTCTTGGAACCGATCAAAGGAGTCTATATACTCATAGGGGTGAATTCCCTTTTCCAAGAGTAAATGACTATTATTTGTAAACCTTTTACAAACTAAGTTAAAATCATCGGGTGAACAGTTCTTAACCAACCGATCTAAGGAGGCCGCCATGAAATGAAAGGAGTCTAAGAACCTGAGTTGGCCAAAGGAGAACGAAATGTAGTTCTCGGTATTTTTAGCGATCAACTTAATTGATTTCCCGTAAAATTCGTGAGCGCCCTGCATAATCAAGTGCGCATCGTATTTTTCGAGATTATGTAAAATCACCGGAATGGGTGTTTGATCGACCACTATTCTTAACTTGAGATTACAACTGGCGTGCGCTGGGCCTCGGTACTTCCCTGTCACGTGACAATGATCTCTAACCTTTCTAAAATTGTTGATGGGCTTTTTACAATCCAAACATACCCATTCTTTGAACTCTTTATCTTTACCTTCAACTTTAACTATATGACAAAACTTGATTTTTTCTTCTTTTGTCTCTGGTGGTTTTGGAATATCACATTGACAGCAAGATTCGTTCGCTTTCGCTCGATCTATCAACTTTTCGCAGATCCAACATCTATTACATTTTTCGTAAATTTTTTGTAACTCGGGTGACCAAATCAACGGGTGTTTGTTTTTAAACGTTTCGTTTATTTTTTCTTCTTCCCGAGAAAGTGACTGTACAAAATTAACAGCCACGTCTTCACCTCTGAATGTTTTTCGGCTAATGCAAACTCCATCGCATCTGACGACCGCGTACGAATATCCGCAGGGCTTGTGAATCTGTGTTTTGAGAGTATTTGATTTAGCTGGTGGTAGTTTTTCCAAAACCGACTCAAAATCAGCGTAAATTACAAAAGGTGCATCTTGCTTATTTTTGTAATTTTCAAACTTGAGTATATTCTCGCCCTTGACCAGCATTTCAACTTTACATGTAGGAACGTTTAAGCCTTGGCAATCTTCTTTGTGTCTCATTAACTTTTCTTCCGTTTGTAAATGCGACATGCAATTAAAACACCAGTGTTTCTTATGCTCGTGATGATCGATATCACTCGTCAACCGAGAAAAGTTTTTAATCCAACAGTAGTGATTTTCGTCACCTTTGTTAAAGTAAAGCAAATTTATCAGTTCTTCTGGACGCTTGCTTTTGTGAAGAATGTAAAGACCGTCTTTTTGGTGTAACCAAACACATTGATCGCCAAGCCATTTTGCGATTCGATACGTGGGATTTGTGAAATCGGTGTTGGAAAGCTTATGTTTGTAAAATTTTAACCGTCTGATTCTGACCGGTTAGTCGAAGGCCGCTCGTCATGTCTTTTATATTTTGGATTTGTTTCCAACTGTCTTTTGACGTCGTCTGAATATAATTTTAAAGCTGCCCGCAACGCCCATCGGATACATTCTTGATCTTTATTTTGGACGTTTATGATTGCTTTTTTGTCTAACAGTTCCTTAGGCAACGGAATGTAAGAAGAACCCACTGGATTATATTTAACCGCGTTGATGTAAAAAGCTACGAC